ACATTTATCACATTTTATCTCTTGTTTGAAGTAATTTTTACAGTAGTAAGTTTCGAAAGATCGGTTACATATACCGATCAATTTTCGAACCTTTCACGCGGAAGTGAGATATGCATTAATATTTGGGTTTTACTAATCAGTTCGTGAATCACTATGGTATCGTGTACGGCGTTAACCAAACATAAAGTACATTCGGCTAAGATAAAAGACGATTTTGCAATCATTCAACCAAATTGTTTTCATCAGCATTCTACGTGTTTTTGAAGATCTTATGTCCGTATACTGTTACTATCCGTGGTAACATTACATACAGGATACGAAATCTAGTTGTCATACTTGTCCACTGATGAGTTCCAAACGAGAACAAAAATTCTTCAACTGCTATCACCAATCCACGATGTGAATCAAATGGAAAATAGAAGTCACACTTTGATGAAATTTTCCAAGGAGATACTGGGCAAAAATAACAATGAAATTACCATAGCATATATTTTACGCAACATGCCTAGACTAATCAGCTTAATTCAATTTTTAGGTTTGTGAGAATTTATTTATCGATTCCAGGTTGGTATTCATCATGAATTTACATCAGCTGGAGAACCATTGGGAACCTTGGAGCACCGAACAGTGGGGGCTCCCCAGCAGTGCTCACTCATGACCCCACCAGGTCCCGCGGCCAGCACGTTATCATTGACCCACTGGGTCGGAATCCAATGGCCTACATTTCCAACTTCTGTCAGTTCACGATATAGCGCGACCTCCATCCAATGCTGTCGTTTAGTGAATGTCCCTATATTCAACTTGGTTGGCCCCATCCAGCGGTTCAATGGTTACGTGCTAGTCACGAGCCTGAAGGTCTCTGGTGAGGTATGGATGCACAGTGCTGAGTCCCATACTAGGATGGAACAACAGCTGTCCAATGCTCCTGGGATCCCATTGGTTCTTCAATTGATGTCAGTGACAAATACCTGCAATCAGCTTGCTGTTGACATCAAACGGGAACTGATACTACTGCAGTGAAACCAACATTTCGGCAAGTGATTAGGGCAGAAAGATCAGTAAGACGATGGTTTCATTTTAACAAAGTCGAGGAATTAACAACCGGAAAAATAAACTGTTAATGTCAAACAGTTGGATGTTTAGGTTTTGTAATGTATTCTTTTACATATTTCATAATAAACTTCTTAACGGTGTTCAACAGATGGTCTTAAAAATAGTTTTCATCACGAATTGACATCAGTTGAAGAATCATTGAAAACTTGAAAGCACTGGATAGTTATCTCATCCTAGTTGAGAACTCTTCAGCAGTGTGCATACAGAACTTTGGGTGGTCAGTCATGTTACTGCCTAGTCACCTAGTTGGAACTCAATTGCCCTTTTTTTTCAAATCTTGTCAATCCCCTATCTTCACTGAATGTTATCAATGAGAACCCACTCTCAAACATGACTTGGTCGTCTTTTATGAACGTATAAGGTGTTAGATGTGGGCTCCAGCTGGCCTACCGTAAGACCGACATTCACTGAACACCAACCATCTTGTCAAATGTAGTTCACACACTACACGTAACCTCTATCTTAAGCAAGTACACCCAAGGACTGAGACAGTTTTCCCACTAGGGGAAGCAAAGTAAGCCGTTTGAGAGCTTATTCACCCACTTTCGATTTCTAGACCGCCTCATCTTTCTATTAGTGGTTGATCGTGGCTAGCAGTGGAATCCAGGATGCGCGCTTCGTCCTATTTGGGACTCGTCAGCTGGATATAATTACAACGCAGGCAATATCGAGGCATCCACACAGGATCCTATATGCCAATGAAGATCGACCAATTCGGTCCAAGCAACGGCGGTATCATATAAAAAGATTTATACGCCTCATCTTTCGCTATGAATCACCACCGTTTGTCGGTTGTCTTTTATGATTTAATACGAGTACATTACTTGTACCTGCTTGATTCAATTGTACATTTCGTTATGAAGTGAAAATATACAGTTGATCACAAGTCAGTGAGTTCCTTGGATCTTGAACTTCATAGCTTTCTGTTAACTGAAAACCGTTGACGACTAGTATGTTTTTGGCTGAGGTAGAAAGGAGCAGTGACACCAAGAATTGATATAACCTCATATGTATTTGATATTGTAGCTTATAGTTTCTCCCTGTTCACTGGTCTCGACAGAATTGCTTAGCTTCAACAACCGGGACTAACCAACTGTGATGTCAAACTACACCCTATGCACAAGAAGTTTTTCGTAGCCTAGTAGCAGTGTATATAACGCTTCGCTACCTGAAGCGGTGTCTTGGGTCAGAGTCCAAGTTTGGATGCAGTCATATCCAGTCGACTAGTTCCAAGTGGCTTCACATTAGAACTTTCAAAAATTCATTTCAAAACAGGTCAATAATGAGCATTCGATTGTTTTTCAGTTATCTCATACTTTGAGCATAACACTCTTACTCTGTTAAAGATCGTCTTGAACAAATCTGACTTCAGTTCATGAAAACTCGTTTAGAATAGTCCAGTTTGATCGTCTACTTCAAACTTAAGAGGTTTATTGAAGTCTAATAACCAGCAATTAAGTGAATCTGATCAATTCACTTGATCTTCAGTGATATATGGTGTATATATCACTCCGTCTAGTCTATTGTGATTTATAGATCAAAGGGTGGTCCTTAATTATTCCTAATGTTCAGCAGTATTTTCACCTTACTAGTTATCATAGAATGTGTGTGAATAACGACAGTCGTCTGTCAACAGAAGTCAATCACTGCAGTTATGTCCTGAAGTCATTTGACTACTAGAAAGTGTTTGCAGCAAAAGAACCCCGCTGAATCTCAACGGTGGGAGCATCAACACCCTCTTAGATGCTTTAAAAATCAGTTGACAAATTCTCAGTTGTTAGTCACCGTGAATTGAATTTGTACGATATTCAAAAAACTTCCACTTAAGAAGTGAGTTTATGGGTCTAGATTTTGAGTTTTAAAGAATTTCGGATTTTTCAAAGACAGCGTAGCTAAGAGAGTTTATGTTTCCTTACAGAAAAACCTTACAGTCAATTAGTCAACAAAAAGGTGAATTCTGAAAACGGTTAAATCCAGTGCGTTATGTATAGTTGAAAGCTTGTAAAATATACAGCTTCTCTTAGAAGCACGTTTTTAGGCATACCGCTTACATGACAGCGACATTGTTGAATGACGAGAAGACGACCTTACATTCATTCATTGTTTACCTTATGGTATTCAATTTCTCCCTTGATTATTAACTGTGCATAATGACTTTTATAATATCTACTTACAATATTTTAGGTTATATTCTGTGATTGTAAGTAGCAGAATAACTTTGTTAAATTGTACGATTAAGAAAAACAAGTCAGTAGCTAGTGTGACAAGCCGTTCGATCACCACCCAATTTGGGTTCCAATCGCAGTCACGAGTCATTTCGGTCTTGTGAGCACTACTCAGCTATTCTACATAGTATCACTTCGAAATACCAATCGACATTTTGAAAACTATGATCACTAAATTATTCCTCTCGCAACACTATCCTACGAACTGCACCTATGATTTAGAGGACAACTATGCTGTAAGATTTAAAATAAAGATAGCCAGCTACGGTGAAGTAGAGATCCCTAGAACTGGAATACAACAATGTAGAAGTTTTAATCCAAATGTTACTAACAAATGAATAATAAAGTAGAATAATCAGAGTACCAAATTTCAAGTGTGACACTTGCGTGTGGAAAATTGTTGAATCAGCAACAAGAAATGTTCGAAATGGGCTGATAATCAGCAAACAATCTACAAAAATTGAGTCTACACCTCAGAAGCGAATCGATTAAATAATATAAAAATGATGGGAGCGATCGTCTCCATTTCTCTGCACAACTCAGAACTACGGTTGTAGAATTATTGAAATAATATCCAGTTTTATTCTGGTCGCTTTTAATCGTTTTCCACTTAAAATCTACTTCGGTAAACAATTCAGACTAAAGAATTTTAATACTCCATTTATCATATTTTCACACAGTTATACATGCACTTCCTACAGAATCAGTTCGAAAACGAAGATAATGAGACTTCAGTGATTGCGTTTCAATGGATTCGGTCTAGCGTGCTCAAGTTACTTTTCCTTCGCAATCAAACGTTACAATATTTCTTTTCACTCATTAATTATTATATTGTCTAGAAATTGGGAGAGAAATTCTTTTAACTTCAAATATGTTACTTTATTATCACGGACTGACATCGGTTGGAGAACCACTGAAAATTCGGGGACAACTGTTTCTCCTTAGTATGGAATTCTGCAGCAGTACGCACCCATGACCTCACCAAAGACCTTCTGGTCCCGTGACCAACGCGTGCTGCTGAAGAATCCTATCCTAGAACGAAGCACCTGTTCATTACTTTTAGGTCTTAAATTGCTCTCCAACTCTCAGTCCATGATGAATACCACCTTGAAACAAATAAATTCCCTATAAACCTCGAATTGTTGTATGCTTACTCTTATTACCCTAAATAAATTAGCTGAATATCTGAAGCCCAAATAACTTTGTCCTTTTCGCATTTCAACTCGAATATTCAGTCGTTTACATAAGTAGAAGTATTGGTGTAACTTCATATCAACAACCTGTACTCACCACAAGATGATGATGACAAACAACAATGATTAGTTTTTTAGCTTCGTGCATAAACGATTTTTACTGACTTCGATCGATCTCTACACCCTATTATCAATTAGGCTAACAATTTGTATACAGAAGTGATGATAACTCCTATCCAACATGCAAAGAACTACTGTCTTTCTCGACAACGAATCAATGCACAGTGCCGTCATACTCTCAATTTAACAGCGAAACCCATCCTTTAAAGTCAATTAGAGTTGTAACAGAGTTCTATTCTCCAAAGTATGATGATAAGTCGCTCCCAAGTCAATACTGAAATCACTTGTCAGAAGAAAACATTTCAGGCATACTTCATAAAATAATGTATGAGTGAATGTAAATAAGTCTTTATGCAGTTTCCAATTTTATTTTCTTTGATGTACTATTATCCCCTTCTTCTGGAGGGATAAGTGGAGCCATACGCTTAGCATTTTGTCGTTCTTTAGACACTTGATTCGACTTGGTGATAGATGATTCAAGTTTAAGTCGCTTACGTTCAGCTTCAGCCAGAAAGTATGTGCCTTTTTCAAGTTCAATATCAATTTTCGACGGAACTGGTGGTGGAGGGAACGGATTATACTCCTTCTTCTTACGTACCTGTAAACAGAAAAAAGTAAGACGATTATACACTTTTAAAAACACCACAAGATAGATAAATAGACATATCATCGAAGGTAGAGGACTTTCGTAGGAGTAACCATGTGAGTGCTGCTAACCACAACGATTCCGTAGGGACTACCTGCTCAAACCATGTTACGATAAGTGATATCTGAATCCATAACCTTAGTAGTTGGAAACTACACACCTGAACCACAGAAGAACAGCTCCCTTAGCGTTGGATAGGTAACTAAGGTACAAAAGATGATTTCTTGCAACATGCCGACCAACGGCTGCATAAAGCTTTATTTTCAACTGTTCGTTATATTCAGACTAATCTGATGCGAATCCAGTGCTGTTTAGTATTCAGTGACCAAAACTCAGTAACACTGCTTGCTAAAGCATTTCTGACAACCATCTAAATCAATTTAAGCCTGACCATGAGAGCATATCACTTGAAGTTGCTTCAATTTGAAACAGCATAGCGAATAAACAAGAAAGTTACAAAAGACTTGAAAAATATAAGGTGAAACCAAATTGATATTGATCATTTAGTAAATAAAATCTTGACTGACCAACTGACAAAATCAACGTAGCATCTAGCACACAGCTGCATCGACTCAAGTTACCACACAAAGAACAGATGGAAAGGAAAAGAGTAATATCAAAGTAGACAAAGTTGTGTAAAAGAACAAACAATTTGAAGATAGCGGTTAGTGCGAACATTCCAGCTTTAGAGGATGTCAAGGAGTGAATACGTCTGCACCAGTGTGACCTATTTCCAGCCATGTTACCAAGGGTCTTCGACCACTGGTCTCCTTCGTCTCGATAAACCCAACTAGGCAGTCTACATCTCCCCCACACGACTCAGATCAACCGTTAGAGACTTCACGTCCTCGCCTGGACCCTCTGAACCATCTTCCAACCTTATTCAGCTTTCCCTAGCATGGCAAATCGAGGTGGGCAGTGGCTGGGCATACGCAGTATGTGGTATGTCCAAGCCATCTCAGTCGACTAAGGTCCACCTCATCAATAATAACCTCGATCTTTTATGAATCAGGATTCGAAACAGCGACTAGTTGGTAGTGCACCGGGTCAGAAGCCTGGAGTTCGCTAGTACGAACACTGCCGCGGCCCAGATTTTCATTTCACCTTCAATCACCACCCTATATCAATACTGGTCTGCTAAACCACAACTATCTCAGATAGTTAAAGTGAAATACGGAGGTGTAAACCATATTCGTACGGTCCTCAAAATAACACCGATGCAATTTATTGTTTATTTCCATCAAAGTCTGGAATACCATGCTACCATTTTACGCAGTTTGGTTTTCACTGGATACATTTCGAATTGCATAAGCTTCACGTATGAAACTTTGAACGATTGCATTTTCGTAAGCTTTCATTTTTTGTCGTGAGGTTTATCGAGTACTGAAAAGATGTCACTTCACGAAAGCTACCACCGAAAAATGCCAAATAATATCGATCGAAAACTAGTGTAGACGATCAACTAAAAGGTATAGACAGAAATTTCATCTAATTACTCGACTTCAAATGACATACAATGAATTCGAGGCTGTTTTCATCCACATTCATTGGGGAATAAAATTACCAAAAGAATGAATATCTACACAATGGTGGAATTTTTCAAACCATCGAATCACAACTTGGTTTGGATAAAAGAAACATTTGTCCTTCGTTTATAGCATCATCGATTTCACGTACATAAAAATAGGCTCATAGTATTTGCATAGAAATGTAAATGAATCTGTCAAAAACATGCATGCTTGAAATCGAAATGTATTGCTACTCCACACCAAACTTACTCTACGTGGTCTCCTACGACGACTAAGCACTTTCTTCTTCGTTTCAGGCAGAAATCTATCCCAAGACATATTCTGTTTTGTGGGATCCAGTGAAAGCTTTTTCTTAATAAGTAAATGTTTAATAGAATATGCTGGATGAATATTATCATACATACATTCCTGTACTATTTTACGCACCTGTGCAAAAAGAAGGGAAGACAAATAATTCACTTTACTAGTGAAAGTGACAACAGCAGTGAAATAGATCCACAGGTAAATTTGCATATAATAATAATAATCACCTTATTTCAAATATAAAAAACCAACGTAGAAGCTCGCACACAAGTGCATCCATTCAAGTTGCCACGTTTCACAATAGCATAAAAACAACAAGTAGATAGAAAAAGAATGATATCAAAGCAGATATTGGTCTACGACAGAATAAACGATCAGTGCAAATATTCAAGCTTTAGATGTCAAGGAGTGAGTACATCTGCACCACTGTGACCTATTTCTAGCCATCCCAATAAGAATCCTCAACCATCGGTTCTTTTCCTCTCGACGACCCCATCCAGGCAGACTACATCTTCTCACATGGCTCAGACCAGCAGTTAGAGACTTCATCGACTAGTAACACGTCTTCGTCTAGCCACCCTGAACCATATTCCAACCTAATCCAACTTCCCCTAACAAAGCACGTTGAGGTAGGCGGTGGCTCGGCAAGTGCAACACATATCCAAGCCATCTCAGCCGACTGAGGATCAATACCTTATTGACTGACTTGCTTAATCCCCTTCGCCTGACTTCAACATTGCTCACACGATGATTTTACTATACACGAGCAATGCTATGAAGACATTTGTGATCGAAAACAATCATGTCTCACAACCATAGCAGACTGTAGTGCATCATACTCTCCTTCTAATCAGTAATCAGATATTTCACCAATGAAAGGGGTGAAGTTGGTAAACGTAAAACAGGCCTTTTGGATCCGAACTAAGATCTCATAAGCAAATAGCCTGTTTTAGTTGATGCAACTACCCAATAAGTGAAGTGTGCCCAACACATTCTACCACTTCACTCCTTATTCTTAAACTGGGAGTAGTTGAAGATCAATCCTGAAGCATATTTGACAAGTCCCAAGCGTACTCAAAGTTTCTGTCTAAGATCAGAACTAATCACCCTGCAACTGTCACTACCAGATCCTACTGCTTTGTGTTGTTGAAGGTTTGAAATGGAGTTGGAGGATCAACTTTTACATTCCACTAAGATACACGCTGGATCTTGCGCAACTGATGGGTTGCTATGGTTCAATCGAACTGTGCTTCTAAGTGCTCCGTACAACGTTCTACCTACCTGTCCTAAGAGTTTACCATGGAACCACGCGTTTTGCTGATAGCCGCAATAACTATCTTCTTCTACCCGCCAATATCCTCAGTGGCACCGAATTATTTCCCAGTATTAACTAGTGCCTTCTCCATCCCTCCCGGTTTCACTACCCACCACTGCTTCCGATCACCAAGAAAACTTAGTCAATCTGCTTTAGCTGCTTTCACTACTAATTGTGATTATAGTCAGCTTGAATGAGTCTTCTAGCATCAATCAGTCTCGATGAGACTGCGGAAATTCATTTACGTTTGCTAACCTTTGGAGGTAGCTCACCAACTGTTTCTACAGCAGACTGAACATCACGCTAGGCTTCCTCAAAATGAGAATTGCTGTCACATCCAGATAAATGCTTAACTATCTGCGTAAATACACAAATTCCTTATCCTCCAGTCGAACACAGAGACTTCACTGTTGTCCGTTTCCTTTGCCCATTAATGTGTTAATATACACATGCTCGCAGTAACGTGTGATCAGAGTTTAAGCAGGTACTCCAGTAAGAATGACAATCCATCATCAACCTTTAATAACGACCGGTTATAGTAATATGATTCATCTGCGCTCATTGTTTATTTGTTATTGATGGATGCAAATTGAGACTGTTTCCCCTAGTCCTTGAAGTTAGGGCTGGTTAGAAACAAGTAAGTGTCGAAACAAAATTGTAAGACACAATCATAGTTGTTCGTTTGTTGTCGCGGAAAACTGTAGATTCCTCAAAGATACTTGTCTGATTGACTCAATTACCCTACTTGAACGTAAAAGTCACCTGCTAGTATAGCCATATTTGAACGCTTTGCTTCGTGCGGCGAAATCGCCTGCTTTTGATAGGATCCATACTTTGAATTATTTGAACTGCAGTCACTGGAAGGATGAGTGGAGACTACGAACAAGTATCAATGGGTGTCACACTATTTTCCAGTTCTTACAAATCCGTTCATTTGGAAAGCCCATTATCAGCCGTTGATTAGTATCAAGTCGATAAGTGAACCTTCTACTGTACTAACTTAATGCTATGCCTACAGCAGGGTCGACAGGAAATATCCACTGAAACTCAGGAAACCTGTACGGTGACGTCTGAAGTTTTACATTGGCTAGATGAGGTCAAGTGGATAACCACACTCTGGTCCTATGTGTTTCAGAAACATTGCATATATATTCATAGCTTGAGACTCCAGAGTTTTGGCAAGAGACGCCTGTTGTCCGACTTGATATTGGGTCCGGATGTTAAAAGTTGAGGAAACTTTAAGGGGTTTACTGTTGGCATGAGGAAGTGAAGGCAAGGGACGAGACAAAAGGAGGATAGGTCGTGATTTGTTTGAATTTTTGTTGTCGGAACCGTGATGGTGTTTGGCACTTCCCGACTGCTCACATTATAGAGGTATTCTCTGAGGTACACGAAATGGAAAATGGATTAGTTTTGCTTGACAAAAATGTCCTAAGTTTAGGGCGAAACTTTTGCAAGGCTCCCCTTCTGATACGGAAGGTAGCGTCAGCAGACAGACAAAACTAACGTCAGACCTTGTACAGAAGTGTATCGGTTTAACTTTCTATACTTCACAGCAGAATGCAAAGAAGTAGTAGAGAAGAGTAATATCGAAGTAAAAGAGAGCGTACTGAAGACAATGTTTGAAAACCTACCATCAGTATGGTACTGCTGGCCATCCACAGAAAACACTTTACTGCGGTCACACTTCCTTGCCTAGCCAGCAGTACGACTTCACTTTCAGACCCCCTCCTCGTAGTATACAACTTACACTACAATGGCAACTGCTTTTTGTCGTAACACTGCAACATACTTTTCTTTTCTGGTAGGGGAGGAAAGATCTTCTAACAATAGCTTTTTGGGTCGTGACATGCACAAGCCAGACCACCACGTCAAGATGGCAAACACAACAATATCTATTATTAAGTGGTTCTCAGAGTGACTAAATAACTGTTCATAACCAAGTATTTGAGGAAAATTTAATCCCTAAAAGTCAAAAGCAAAACAAATTAATCCACAAAATAAGCACAGTAACATTTTCACATTATAAACCGAGGTGAAAAATCAGAACTTTTACTGTCGGGAGATGGTAAACGGCTCCCACTAATCAGTCGGTCAACGTGAAACCTGGCATTACTGTGCAGCAATCCATGTAGTCACATCTCATATCAGTACATTAAGATAAGAGGTATCGAGATAAAGAAATCAAGTAGAAAGTGGTAGAAAGTCATGAAAGAACAGGGAGGAGTGAGACAGTAGTGAAGTCCAGTACAGCAATTAATGTGAGGACCATGTAATGATGTATTTCCGTCACTGAGATCGATTCTGAGTCCTATCACTTAGTCTTTAACCACCAATTTCGGTTGTCACGCGGGCCCCAAACAGTAAGTTCACATTCCAGTAACACATGTCCCAACCATTTGAGTCGATGAAGGTCCACAACTTCTTACCTAAACCTCTGCAACTGACTTCTACGTTACTGACGTGATGGTACCACAACACAGTCTGTGCTATGAAGGCGATGGTGATCGAATGTCTGAAGCCACCTTACATCATTTACCTTTAATGACCATATTTCCCAGCCATGTAGTAGAATAGAGCGAAATGAAGAGCAGTACACTCAGCCTCTCGTAACCAATCAAATATGAGACCAATGCTATAAATAGCGTAAGTTAGTGAAGGCCAGTAGAACCTTTTGTATTTGAGTAGAGATTCCATCGTTCACTGACCCATTTAAGTAAAGTAGTCAATGTGCTCCACTGTTCCACTCCCTATTGTTAAACGAGCACCAACGTAGACCAGTTCTGGAGCAATAATTTACATTTGGGTGGTGAGAAATACACCCTAAACATTTTCAAATTGTCATTTAAGGTGTTCAGAAGACTGTGAGATGCATAATGCCTGCTTTTGCGTTTTTTTGTTTTTCTTTTCGCGAGTACTAAAAATAATAAGAACGGTTGATAGGAAAATTAAACTCACATCTCTTAGGTCACCAAACCGACCAATGACAGAAACAGTTTTCCCTTGCACAACTATATAACAGTTGGTGGACAATTCTAAAGCCTTTAATGTTTCACCTTCATGACCAATTAGCCGATCACGTCGCTTAACAAGTTTTTCACGACTATACAGATTGATTTCAATGATATCCGCAAATGTTTCGTCATCCAAAACACGAATAGCTTGCTCCATTGGAACAGAACGAGCCAATAAGTGTATAACATCTCGTGCTTTTAGAATAATGAAAGGATCGAATGTTTTAGGTGTTGTTTTAACCTCCATGGTGCTCTCAGCCAGATCCAACTCTGCTCGAATATGCTGACATGAGAAATTACAACAAGATTCGTATTAGATTCACAACAAAAAAACATCAAATTACTGTGATAATCCGAATCTACAGATGGTACATGACGATGTCAGTAAAACACCAGTAACAATATGCTAACCCTGAATACCACGATACTTTTCAACTTACACTTTTACAATCTATGAAATTTCTAATCATGAAGATACCTGTTTCAGCTACTGAACTTTTTTAAGTTAAGTTTGTGGTACATTTTGTTCTACGGATAACTATTAAAAGCTAGTGCTGAAAGTAGCCTACCTGACAAATTATGTCCTTGATGTCCATAGGTTTAGATAACTTTGACAGCTAGAAAATGCCATGCAGGTCAAGGCCTATTTACCAGGCCATGAGTTAAACTATGTGGTTTATGATACTATCTAGTTGCCCAGGTGGAAAGGGATTCGAACCCAGAATCCACTGCCTGAAAGTCGTGCTTAAGTTAATGAGCCACACAAATGAAGACAATTCGAAACATATATAAGTCTTTTGAAAACTCCAAAGTAAAGTAAATTTACACATGTGTTGACGCAAATAGTGAGGAGTAACTGAACCATAACGTTGAAGGTGGAGAAACAATCAAACTCGAATAAACATAGGAATCATAATCATATGTGAGTTAACTTACAGAAACACCATAAATTTCACTAAAATAACTTTTTAACCAATACACGGGAACTATCGTGGGTGTATACTTAGGTTCATCAAAATTGCAGTCATGCGAAAAGCTATCACCAAATCCAGTGAAGAAAGGCCCACGGTCGAATGTCAGAGCTCAAAGAACACCGAAAGACTTTTAAACTCGGCATTATTCCATCAGCTACTGTTATGATTCATGAAAGTTTTTTAACATTGATAAAACGATTCAATATCTGGAGTCAAGTGAATTTTTGCTTTTTGTACAACAAACAAAATCAATGTGATTCTTCTGTCAGATGAATAAAAATAAGTGATAGACATCTGTTACACGGATAATAGCATCACCAATCTAATACAGATACAGTTGCTTTCTCAAATGACAGACATACATATATGGAGAATACCAACAAAATACTTATTAGCACATATGGCGGTTTTCGGTACTAAATGTTTCTGGAGTTCATCTAACATACAATGATACATTCAACTACTGCCTCAAGGTTTCATTCATAGCTGACTACTGTTTTCCAATTTTGCAGAACTCAGCTGCTTTCCTGTAACCTTAGTCACTGCTATTTGCAAGTGATCTTTCTAGTAACCAGATACATGTCAAATTCTTATTCTTATCGTTTGGAACTTGAACAGTGAAGATGATATTAGCGTTGCTCTTAGCAATAGGTAGGAGTTCCTGCTTATTATGTCGTATATTCATTTAGAGGTTTTTCATTTACACGAGGGTTAACTCTGAGCTTACTCAAGTGCAAAGACTACGTACATGCCCATGATTGAATAATCCGCTTGTCTACTACTTGAAAAAGAACACGGACTCCCGAGAATATCAGAGATAAACGACGAACAAAGCAATTAGTCTTCAGTACGAACTCCATTTAAATCGCTCCTACGTTGAAGTATATAAAATAAATGGACTGATGCGGATATGCTCATGGTGTTAGATCACTCATGATTCATTGTATCAAGACGAACTCCTCTCAGGCTTCAACCATAAATCCTAAGCAAAAAATCATCCTTTAAGTAAGGAAGATGAGGGTACACACAAATACGTGACAAGTCTTTTGCGACTAGAATCTGCAAATTGTGGAACTCACTATTAATGCAAGTGACAGCCCGGTCCTGTGATTTCGAAATAATATAGGCCCAATGGGTGGCACGTGGTACACAAAACCTGTTCGCCACAAGGATTCCATACCCATATACACTATGGGTAGCATCAATATTAGAATGGAATGATTAGCAATTTCATTTTCATTTTTAATGGTCCTTTGGGACAGGGATGAAAAGCGTAACCATTCCACACAGAGTATTTCCCAGTAAAACAGGCACATGACAAAGGGAGAGACAGCTCGCTGTTTCAAAGTTGGCAATTTATAAATAAATCGCTTACGCCAAACATGCACAGCGTCAACATCCGAAAGCTATATGTCAGCCAGTTACTGACAAGAACAAATCGGCAAAAAGAAACAAAATGTATAAAGACTAGATGCATATTTAAATGTCTTGTAGCAAATACTCGAACAAATCCGAATTAGAAACTTAACTTCTACAACGGCCTTTCTGGTTACTAATTTTCAAAATTTAAGTGCACGCTACTGAAAATGCTCAGTTCATAAGCAGTTAGAATTCATCTGAGAGGTGCAAGTTGATTAGAAAACAAAGCTTACACTCATTTGCCAAAGGCAAGAACATTATCTAGTTCATAGAGCTGGCTACTTTAAGCTTCTTAAGAATACAACCTACATGTTCCATCATTATTCTTTTCAAAGCAGGCCAAATTTCATCCAAGTACTTTTCACGATACTTCGGAAACAGGGTTACGAATGAAGAAGAGGCGAACAGTCTGCCATGTGGGTTATCTTCAGGGTTGAACTTCGGTTCTTTCCAATCTTTTGGAGCTTCAACGTATTGTATCTCCTTTTTTTCGACTTCTTCTTCTTGTAAGAAAATATACTCGAATCAATATGAACTTACTTTTCCTTGAGAATGCTATGTACGGCACCCACCCTTGAACATCAGGTAAGTTAAATTTTTGTAGCCCAGTCTTTTTGCCCATACTTCTGAATGACCATAAAAATAAGTGACTTTTCGATTAACCAAGGCAAGAATTAGTATGGACAGTTTTTTACTAGGAAGACAAGAGAAATTCGAGTATGAAAAATAGTAGATCCTCGCGAGGATGATTAAACCTGAAAAAACCGAAGTACCACTAAAAAACTCAATCTCCAATATCTCGATTACTTGGCATAAAGCAGCTAATTCCTTTGCATTCGCTTCCAGGTCCTATAGAACGACTAATCATTGGTAGGTTTTCGTGAAGTGAATCCAGCCACTCACTTCCTGTATCTTTGTTAACCTAGCAGATGGTTAGACATCGTCTGAATTTATTATGAAATTTATGACTAATCCGTGGACTGCAGAGCACGAATGATATCCAGATGACTTCGGAAAGTTGTCTGAACTGGATACAAGCCTCAGAAATGGAAAATATTGCGGAGTTTGGTCGTCAAATGTAAAGATGGTCCGTTTGGGAAAAGGCTGGCATTTCTGACGGGTTTGATAAGTTGAAATATTTTCTTTGTTTCGGTTCATTATCTGCCTGCACATATATGCACCTAGCTCTGCCCAGTGAAAGTATCAGAGAACATCTACATAGTGTTTCTCAGGGATGTCAGAGGTTCTGCTTGAGCGATGGATTTCGAGCTATGCTAGCAATGAACTCGCTAGTTTTGTGGTCCTAGGAAGCATTCTGTTGATCACAATATACTTCTCAATAACCCGTTGTTTTTTGATAGGTATTCAGGTCTATGCTGCAGGACCAAACTCAAATGCCACTTAAGCCAAGAATAAACTGGATATGCTTTTGACCACTCTTTATCTAAGGGCTTCACATAATCTGGCTTCATTAAGAAAAAGCTGCATTATGTAGATACCATCCCTAAAGATTCTAACAGTTGAGATTCCGACCGAAAGACTACCACAACGGTTACGAAGAAATAAACGACATAGATACTTGCCAGAAAACTGTTCTTACAGGCTGTCGCTCCAAGAGTGAAGCTCTGGAACAGAAACCTTAACGAGGAATGAGAGTGCTGAAACAAATTGAGCCCAAAAAGAAACAAGAAATAGAAGCACATCAAGTCAATAAGTGGCGCTACTACTAGAGACGAAAGCAACTTTGTTGGGGTAGCTACACTTCTTACTCAATATAACATGAGACCGTCTTCCTGAGTAGCCGGTTCCCTTGATACCGAATTAAAAAGAAATTTGAAAATAAGGACCTCAAACTCCCTGCCTCAAAAAAGTGGTCAAAGCCTTTATTTGCAGTCCGATGCCAGCCCCAGTCAATCCCAAGAGTAACTCTGTTTTGGCAAATAAGTTCTTGCGAGTCAGCCCTAAAAAGATGGAACAGGAGTTCATGTGTTCATTCACAAATAAGGTAACATCCCAAAACATTGGCTGCAATCTTAATCTTAGATCGCTTATACTCTTCAACGTTGGGAATGTGACTCTTCTTTGTTGGCTAATCGTTAGGGACACAGTGTCTGAGTGGAAGGCTTTATGTCAATTTTTAGCATCCACACATAGTCGTTCAACTCTGAAACGCTTAGCCCCTGACAAATTCCCCCCTGAATTTTGGATGTCTCTTCGGATAACACTACCCAAACCGGACATATCATATCGACTGGTCATCAGTTACTTAGGCTGAAAGATTCAATCATTAGGATCCGGTCAACAGCTGCATCTCATTGCTCAATTGGCGGGGCATCAGACAGGTAACCTGAGGGCCGGTTGTTCAAATTTTACCACGACCAAGATTTTCGTTTCACCACGGATCATCACCCAGTACCATTAGGATAGTGCTTAGTGGACACTGGTCAGTGATAGAACCACTCTTCAGTGACGAGGAGACCCACTCCAAAGACACATTACTCAGTCAGGGTATTTGGGTACTTCCGCGACCGCTGAATTCACTCATAAAACAAATCAGAGGATATGCTTGTTGGATAAAATGGAACTGGTCGTGATGGCCAAAAATATCCGTCTTCCAAACTTCTTTGACCTATTGGCTGAACGCACTGAGGTTGCTTTAAGTATTCCTTGCTTCTCTAGACATGATCGGACGATATCTGGGGAAATCAGAGTGAACGAGTACGAATCCAGGGGACAAATCCAAACTGGGAGAACCAAATACTTGCCAGTGGCTAACCCGCGTCTACCGACCAAATGAGGTCTCCCTCTCGTCACCAGACTACACAAAGGTTGACCTAATCGCAAGAGAATTTTCGTCAAACCTAGAATACGCAGATGACATAGTCAGTCCTGTTAGGTGAAGATGCCGACAAGATGCAGTCTTCTGAACACTGAGTGGCAATTAGAGAATGTTTGGGATGTGGTTCTCACCACTCAAATGCAAATTGTTGATTCAGGATTGGTCTTCAACAGTGCCTCGGCTAACAATAGGGTGTAGTGGTTGGATGTGTCGGCCACTCCACTTATCCGGGAAGTAGGATCAGCCCTAGTGAACTGGTCAGTTGCCGGTGGAATCTCTGCACGGCTACATAAAGCTCGGTTGGCTTTCGCTAATTTACGCCACCTGTGGCACCGCCGTGATATCCGTTTGTTTATTAAGGGTCACGTGTACTGCACAGCAGTCCGGTTTGTTCTACTGTATGGCTGCGAAACATGCCGACTGAAAGTGGAAGATATGAGAAGGCATCAGGTGTTTGACCACCGTTGCCTTCGCAGTATAGGCCGTATTCCGTGGTATCACCATGTGAGTAACACAAAAGTCAGGTGCACAGTTTTAGGGAGAAGAGGGAAGTCAGTTGACACGGTTGTGAACCTTCAACGACTGAGATGGTTGAGACACGTACTACGTATGCCTAGTCATCGATTGCCTCGTCACACAATGTTGGCTGAGGTGGGTTCAGGCTGAAAAAAGGCTCGAGGTAGCCAGACTAAAACATGGCACCAATGTATGAAGTCTCTCACTGTTGGTTTCAGCCATGTGGGGCGACGCAGACTAGCTGGTTGGGGTCCGCGGGACAAAAGGAACCAGTGGTTGGAGACTCTAGGTGATATGGCTCAGAATCAAAGTCAGTGGCGCAGATGTATACACATATTATCCTCATCTTAACAACGCTATACCGAATCTCACCATTTTCTCACTCTTTCTTTCTCTCTTTCCGTACCTCATGTATTTCTTTTGACTGAATTTTCTTTTCTTTCCTTCATCTTTCACTCCACTGCCTTTTTACTTGATGTACCGATGACGTGTGGCAACATGGACTGCTACGCAGTAATGTCGGGTCTTATGTTGGTGATGATCGACCGAATCGCTGAGAGATACATAGAAGTTTTCCCCTAGTGTCCTAGACCCATGAATCCAATGGTCTCTCAAACAAGCAGCTATAAGGACTTGGATGCTCTTAGTACTCCCTCCTCATGGGCAACAAAATCGACAAAGATCTTCGAGAAACTAGCTTCGCAGCTTCATTGACCCAACCTACTGCTGGGATACCAGATACTCATACTCTAGTTCTGAGTATCTATGATGTGTGTGGTTTATCCTCCAAGATGACTGAAATGAGATTTATACAACCTGAAGTCCTCCTGGATAGGATGATCATGTGCCCAATTCCTTGAAAATTCCCTTATTTAAATCATTGTGATCAACCACTTGTCAAAAATTATGAGAAAACTATGACAAGGTTAGACAAGATCCAGAAATTTCGATCTGACTAAATTTTGATGACCTAAACCTAACCGGAAACTTCTTCAATGTGCTACACAAATTTACTTTTACAGCCATTGGGGAATTTCAGTCCTAGCACAACAGATGTTATGACCTAAGCAGCCACGCTCACATCACAATGAACACGTATAAATCCTGCTTGCAGACAAATTTCTAGACCGCCCTATAAATCAACCTCTGAATCTAGTCGGCCACTAATTAACTTCTTACCACCTGGCGACTCATTCAGCTTGCCAAGTGAACCAACACAATCCTCTGTGACATTTAATGTACTAGGCCATCATAATGTGTAATGAGACATCCACCACAGCTGCATGACCCTTCATACGAAGCGCTACAGACTTCTATAAACTATCACCTCATACTACCGGCATATTCTGCCCTAACCGACATAGTTAGCAGGAACAGAAGTCATAGTCTACATGTTACCATGAAATTTATGATCTCAACTACTTAGTAGAGAAAGTACATGCAACGAACCCACAGCAAAGAAAGTTACGGAAGCGGAAATATGTACTTAAGGGAACACACTCCTTGCTGGAATTCTTGCTTCTTTCTCTCCCTGCTGCTTTGATTTTGCTTTTTTCTTGTTATTGAAAAGCAATTCACTTTCAAATGATGGCTCAGTCGTCATCGAAAATTAACCATTTAGGGGACAGACCCTGGCAATAACTACCCTACATGAACGGTAGCCAGTATTATTGTGTCCACGACACCCAACTATAAAAAAAGTCTTCACTGAACTACAATTTCATAATTATCAAAACCTACGATTTATTCACTATCCAGAAGATCACAAAAGTCTGACAACTAAATATCTACCAATACAAATGGCGGGCAAAATGTCCTGGAGTCCACTTCATGCGTTCAAACAAATCCACTGCTTCAGGATACAGATATTTCACTCTCAGTCGTAAGATTGCGCAAGACAATGAAACCATGAAGTGAAGTGGTACGCATATACATAAATTACACATTTGTGAAATCACCGATACACTGAAACAAATAAATAACTTGCATAAATATTCCACCATGAAATGCTGAAAATATTGCTGGTCATAAACCATAAACTGTAACAACGAGCAGGCAGCACGTCTACCTACAAGCTCCAACAGTTATGGGTCTGTCTTGCAGAAGAAACTGAGTGGCAGCGCTGGTGACTAGTTTTCTGAAGACCATTGAGAGCATCTAGGTTATGGCAACAGTTTTGTAGCTCGCGTCTCACGAACAAGATCCTGGTTTCTATCCAGGTGTAATGTTATCCCCAGTTGGTGAGGTTATGCATGAAACTATAGGGA